GGTAAGTCAATATTTCTATTTCTTCATTTGTTTCTCATTGGAAGTTGTAGTACTTACAAATTTCTCATGAAGATTAAATTAAATGATTTATTTGTTTATAATATAAACTTGTATGCTGTTGATGTGTCAGGCACTGCGATGGGCACTGGGAATTGGAAAAGTAAGGAGTGAGCTTTTACCTCAGAAAATCTGAAGTTTTCAGTAGAAGAAACAGAACCAAAACCAAGCAGTCTACCATGTAATGTGGTTAATATTCTACCTTAGACATATGCAAAATTCAGTAGGGTAGGAAAGGATAGAACTTGCCACTTTATGAAAATGAAGCATGGTCTTCCGACTGTCACTGGGAATAGAACAAGTTTCAAAGTTCTACCACCTCAGTATATAAAAAGGAATTTCTGTACACTGCTTCCTTCCTTCCTTCCTTCCATATGAGGGATTGAACCCAGGGATCATGCATACTAGGCACGTGCTCGACCACTGAGTCACATCTCCAGACCCTGGCATAGTATACTTTAAGTGACTCTTAGAAGGAAACAAAAAGACTGAAATAATTTTAAATCATTTTACTGAGGTATGATTAACATATAATAAAATGTATTTTAATTATATTTATATATATAAAGTATATTTAATTGTATAATTTGAGTTTTGACAAATGTGTACTTACATCATTACCCTTATATTAAGAAATAGAACATGTTGATCACTTGAGAACATTCCTTTCTTCTGTATTACAGTTCATCCTGACCCCGTCCCCTGCTTTTTTATAGATTAGTCCTATCTGCTCTTAAATTTCATGTAAAAGGAATTATGCAATATGTACCTTTTTATGTCTGCCTTCTTTTGTTCAATATGATTTTTTGAGGTTCATCCATGTTATTATCAGTATCAGTAGTTCATTCTTCTTTTTTAATGCTAGTAGTAAGTATTCCATTATATAGATATACCATTCACCAATGATGTGTGTTAAAGTTGTTACCAGTTTGAGTCTCTTATGAATAAAGTGACTACATACATTCTGTGTACAGGTCTTTAATTGGATATATGTTCTCATTTCTATTGGGTAAATACCTAGAAGTGGAATTTCTGGGTTGTATAAGTCTTCACTTTATAGGAAACTGCCAAACTATTGTCCAACATATTATATTTTATTATAGTTCTACTAACAAATATGCGAAGAATCTCATTGCTCCATATCCTTGGTAATACTTGGTTTTACCAGTCTTGTTATTTTTAGTTTTTCTGGGGAGTATGGAGTACTGTCTCTGGTGTTTTAATTTGCATTTCTTTAAGAACTATTGATGTTGTCTATCTTTCCATGTGCTAGTTGGTCATTTGTATGTCTTAGAAATATCTGTTCAAGCATCTAGAGATATAGCTTAAGCTTAGTGATAGAGTGCTCATCTAGCAAGCACAAGACCCTGGCTGTGATCTCCAGCACCACCAAAGGAAGGAAGGAAAAAAACTAAAAAGAAGTGTCTATTCAAATTTTGTGCTTTTTGGTTAGAAACTGAGTTATTTTTCTTCTTATTGAAGTGTACAATTTTAGGGGGGGGGATTGAAGTCCTCTCCAGTATTTATCTTAAATATTTTTTCAGTCTATGAATTATCTTTTCATTTTCTTAATAGTGTCTCTTTATTTTATTTTTTTATTTTTTAATGTGGTGCTGAGGACCGAATTCAATGCCTCATGCATGCTAGGCAAGCGCTCTACCACTGAGCCACAACCCCAACCCCCATTAATGGTGTCTTTTGATGAACAGAGTTTTAAATTTTTACGAAATCCAATTTATTTTTTAAAATTTTTATGTCTAGTACCTTTTGAGTCAGAAGAGATCTTTGCGTTCCCCATGGTCAAAAAGATTTTCTATTTTGTTTGCTTTTTTCCCCAGGAGTTTTATTAACTATAGTTTGTATATTTAGGCCTATGATTCATTTGAGTTAATTTTGTGTATAATGTAAGGCAAAGTTGAGGGTCATATTTTCCTCTGCTTGTAACTGGTTATTGCATAACATCATTGTTTTTCTTTTTTTTTTTTTTTAATGTGGTGGGGGTAAGGATTGAATCCCTATTTTCCCCTGCTAGTAACTGGTTATTGTGTAACATCTTTTTTTTGTGGTGGTAGTGTAGTGGTGGTGAGGATTGAACCCAGGGCCTTGTGCATGCAAGGCAAGCACTCTACCAACTGAGCTATATCCCCAGCCCTGCATACCATCTTTGGAAAAGATTATTCTTTCTGCATTAAATTATTTTTATTTTTTTTTAATATTTATTTTTTTAGTTTTAGGTGGGCACAATATCTTTTTTTTTCTTCCTATGTAGTGCTGAGGATCGAACCAGTGCCTCATACATGCTAAGTGAGCACTCTACCACTGAGCCACAACCCCAGCCCATGCATTGAATTATTATGAGTTTTTTTCTAGTCTGTTCTCTCCTTATGTCAATACCATGTTGTCTTTTAATTGTAGCAAGCATTATTTTAATTTTTTTTTTTTTGGTATCAGGGACTGAACCCAGTGGTCCTCAACCATTGAGCCACATCCCACCCCTTTTTAAAATATTTTCTTTAGAGAAAGAGTCTCTAGGTTGCTTAGAGTCTCACTAAATTTTTGATGCTGGCTTTGAACTCTGAATCCTCCTGCCTCAGCCTCCTAAGTTGCACCTTATTGTAAATCTTGAGATCAGTCAGAACAGTCCTCCTGTTCTGTTCTTTTTCAGTATAGCTTTGGATGTCCTAAATCCTTTGCAATTTTGTATTCATTTTAGAGTCAGCTTGCCAACTTCTATGAAAAAAAGTCTGCTGGAGGGGCTGGGGTTGTGGCTCAGTGGTAGACTGCTCACCTAGCATGCATGAGGCACTGGGTTCGATCTTTAGCACCACATAAATGTAAAATAAAGATATTGTGGCCACCTAAAACTAAAAAATGAATATTAAAAAAAAAGTTTGCTGGAGCTAGGGATGTAGCTCAGTGGTAGACCTAGTTGCCTAACATGGAGGAGGAGGAGGAGGAAAGAATGTAGGAGAAGGAGGAGGAAAGAATGGAAAAGGAGGAGGAAAGAATGGAGAAGGAGGAGGAGGGAAGGAATGGGGAAGAAGAAAGAATGGATGAGGAGAAGAAGGAGGAGGAGGAGGAAAGAATGGAGGAGGGAGAGGAAAGAATGGAGGAGGAGGGGAGGAGGGGGAGGAGGAGGAGGAAGAGGAGGAGGAAGAAAGAAGGAAAGAATATTCAGTCTTCCAAACCATGAATGTAGCATAATTCTCCATTTGTTCAGGTTTCCTTTAATTTCTTCCAGAGACATTTTATGTTTTTTCAGTACATAGTTGTTGCACATACTTTGCTAGCTGTAACTCTAGATTTCTAATGATTTTGGGGTACTTATTTTAAGTGGTATTACAATTTTAAAACTTTATTTTCCAGATGTTAATTATTAGCATTTAGAAATACAATTGATGTTTTTTTGAGAGAGAGAGAATTTTAAAATTTAATTTTTAGTTTTCGGTAGACACAACATCTTTGTTTGTATGTGGTGCTGAGGATCGAACCCAGGCCGCACACATACCAGACGAGCGCGCTACCGCTTGAGCCACATCCCCAGCCCTACAATTGATTTTTGTATATGAATGTTTTATTCCATGACCTTGTTAATTTCACTAATCAGTTTTTCTGTTAATTCCTTAGGACCTTCTTTGAACTTATCAAGTGTATAAAGCAGATTAGACCACTAACCATTTTAAACCTGTCTTGCCTTCTATGTGCATATGCTTGTTCATTTGTGAAACACATACTGGAAAGCTCTAGTATGTTAGGGTGCATCTTTGTGTTAGGTGTGACTGGGCCCTATATAAATAGAGAGTCAAAGAACTCATTGTCTAAAGAAGGGTATAGATAAGAAACTGACTATGATAAAGTAAGAAATAAGCCAGGCTTCCCAAAGACCTTTGGTTTCTTAATAAATAATCTGCTTTGAGGGCATCTAAAATGATAAACAGACATTTCTAAGCTATTGACAGAATGAAAATGCTGTCAAAATTCATAAATATCCTACCTAACTTTTTAAATCAACTTTCAAGCCATAAAGTCATATAATTTAAAAGAAAAACAACATCCAGGCTGGGGATGTGACTCAAGTGGTAGCGTGCTCGCCTAGCATGCTTGAGGCACTGGGTTCAATTCTCAGCACCACATAAAAATAAAAATAAAGATATTTTGTCCACCTAAAACTGAAAAATAAATATTAAAAAAAATCCACCTGACATCCTAACATTTTCATCATTTTCCAAGCCATGAATTCATAGAAATTAAAGGCAAAAGGGAACTTAAAAATCAGATATTGCAATCCACCTTTCTTTACAGATAAGGAAATAAGAATTGGGTCCAACTTCCACAATGAATTAGTAAACTGAGAGAATCTTCCTATTGCCTATACCAAGACAGCCCTCAAAAACAGGGTACTTACTGATGGCCAATTATGTTTATATTTCCTTATTTACTCTGTATCTCCTGTGCATCAGATACTATCCTAGTGACTAGATATATGAAAAAGTAATAAGATTGTATATCTGCATGCTAAGATTGCACCATTCAGTTGGGGAAACAGATAAGAAAAGAGACAATTATAAAAAGTGATTTTTTAAAGTAGTTTTCTTTAGGGATCATTTGTTGCAAGACATAGAAACTTACTGAATCTAGCTTGAGTTAAGAGGTTTATCTTTTGTAAGAACATCAGGAAATTGTATGGATCATGACAGCAGGAAGTACAGACTCACTTCACTAGAAATGGAATGGTTGCTTCTTCATCTTTCCCTCTTTTCTGCATTCCTTCCTCTCCATTTATCTTCAAATCTTTATATCTATTTTTCTTTCCCTGAGGAATATTTTTCTGCTCATTCATCCACTTATTCATTCACTTTGGCTACCACCAAATATCAGCCTCAGATCTTAAGTCCATTTGACTTCATACTTTGAAATCATCTCTATATTTAATTGATTAGGTTTCTGGATCCCCAACTCCAGACTTTCAGGAGAGAACATTTGTCCCTACTTGTCTACTCCTTATCCCCGCAGCCTCTCATAGGCTATAGGAGTACAGAGTTTCTAAGAATGTGGTTGGAAAGAAATGATGTGTATTACTAGACCACAAAGGTATGTAGGTAAGTGGTAAAGTCCCAATCTATTTGTTCCTGTTATATATTCTTAAGAAAGTTTCTTTCTTTCTTTTTAAGGTTTGAATGTTTCAAGATGAAGAACTCAGTAAACTACCATCTACTTTTTACCCTAGTTCTATTCAGTTTATTAGTAACCACAGTAAGTCATAATTTGTCTCTTAACAGATTAAGCATATGAATTTGTCGTTTATGGAGAAAACATTTTGCTTCCTGTATTTGCTTGAAGCTGTTCAAACTGAAATGTTTCTACATATAATTGGAATATCTCATTTTCTGATATTGCTTCTTTGTTTCCAAGTGTTATTTTTCCTTATAATTGAAATAACCTTTGTAATGTTTAATTTTTTAAAGGAAGAAAGGTCAAAAAGAAAATATTTAGTTAGTATCAATGGAGAAAAATTAACTTTTATCATGAATGGACATATTACCTCCTATTTGTTAAAGAAATTGGCTCCACTCCATTGGATCTAGTTTGACTATTTTAATGGTTAACCTTTTCCTAATAACTTGAGGTAGACAGTCACTTCTGATCCTATCCTACCTTGTGCTTTTCTTCCTCAAGTGAATTGCATTTTGTATTAAGAAAATATTAATTTAAACAAACACTTCAGGAAAACCTACATGTCAGGCACAGGAAATACAGAGGTGCCTAAGAAGCAGTTACTATCCATAAGGAATTCATTCTATTAGAGAAATTAAACTTGTAAACAAAGAAATGTATCAAAAGATAATAACTGAAATACTAGAAGTAAATGTTAATTATATGTGATGAGGTAAAAGAAAGCCAATCAAGACTGCTTGACTATTCCTTATATCCCATAAATATGTGTGTATTTTTATGTTTTTATGTATCAATCAAAAATAAATTTAATTTTTTAAAAAGTCTACTTGAGTAGGTCATGGAAAGCTTCAGAGAGAGGAGGCAGCTGATTTAGATTTTGGCTGATAATTGAAAGTTCATCCAGCCTCTGGGCAACAGTGTGGCAAAACATTTTGAAATAGTCTTTCATATGTCCATGGGTATAAAACTCTGGAACCACATAAAGAATTACTGTTTTTAATTATTTGCTAATGTCAGATATTGTACTGAATACTTTACCTTTATTGTTTCATTCGTCACCAATAGAATTGGGAAAGATTTTATATAGGTGGATATATGATAAGTGGGGAGTAGTGAATGAGCTTACTGAAATACGTTATAAAGCTCATTGTTTGCCAGATCTTGCAATTTTAATTTTTATTGTCAAGGCAGTGGAGAGCCATTAACTGGCTTAAAGTGGAGAAAAATGTAATCAGATATGTTTTAGAAAGATTACACTGGTTATGGAGGATGGGGAGAAATAAGGGCTAGGGATATGAGATTCAGACTATAAAGTAACATATAGGAATGAAAAAATGCTGACATAAATACCTATCTATGGGACCTGTAGTCCATTGAGTAGAAAAGATGGAAATAGAGTTTTAAAGGAGTTGTTAGAATGGCTCCTCAGTTTATGGCCTGACTGCCAGTATATGTAGTATGCCCTTAACCATGATAGGAAACTTGGAAGATGGGCAGCTTTTTCAGGAAATTTAATGGATAAGTTCATATCATTGCATAGAGGTAGATAAATTCAATTTAGAATATGTTTGGTTTGAAGCTCCCAGCATTAATAACACCTGAGGCTTAGCAAGTAGTCTGGTCCAAAGATGTAGATTTGGCAGTTGGAAGGGTATAGGTAGACTAGATAGGCGGGAATAGATGAACTGGCACAGAAATTGCATAGACCATTATGATGACTAAAGATAGAATCCTACAACTACAGACAGAAGAGATAGAACAAGCAAAGCAGTCTGAGAAAAGTAATAAGATATATATAGGAAAGCCAAGAGCCCAATGTAACAGGAATTTTTAGAATGAAAAGTAAATAGTATTAGTTTCCTCTGAATGGACGTGAATAAAATGAAGATTTAAACCTAATAGAAATTTTGAAGTAGAAAACCAAGTAATCTAAATGAGAATACTGTCACCAGTAAATTGATGAAGGCAGAAGCTATATTCCAGTTGTTGAGATGTTAAATAAAAGGGTGAAAGAGCACATATGCAGTATTTTCTTGAGTTTCTAAGCTTTGCCTAAACTACATGCTAGCTAATGATGAAAGAATCCAAGAAGAGGTGAAAAATAGTCTTGTTACTGTTTAAAGAAGAGAATAAAGTAAGTCTAGAGAGTGTCAGTGAATTGCCTTGCCAGCCAAGTTTATCTAGAGAGTAAGTGGCAGAGACAATATTGGATCACTTTCTAAATTAAGAGATGATGTACTTAGGAATAGGCTTTGGAGCTGGGCATGGTAGCATGGGCCTATTATCTGAGCTATTCCAGGGGATGAGGCAGAAGGATCACAAATTTGTAGTCAGCCTGAGCAACTTAGGGAGACTGTGTCTCAAAACAAATTATTTTAAAAAAATCTGAGGATGTAGCTTAGCTGGCATGCACAAGGCCCTGGGTTCAATTCCTAGTACTGCAAAAGAAAAACCAACAACAAAAAAAGGTTTTAGAATCAATGAGATCTGAGTTTAGATCTAACACTGTTACTTAGTAACTGTGGGACATTGGGCAAATTACTTAGTCTTTTTCAGCCTTAGTTTTCCTTACCTATAAAATGTAGGTAACAATAGTGTACATTTCATATTAGTTCTGAAAATTAATATTGGCATATAGCAAGGACTTCATAATTTTCTTCCTTTAAAAAAATATATCTTTGAGAGCATGCCCTTTTGTATTTCTTTTATTAGTAGCTGTAAGAATCTGCTTTAACCATACAAAGGCAAATTAGTTGTTTCATTTGGTACGAGGATCAAACCCAAGTTCTTGCTCATGCTAAGCATACAATCTATCACTGAGCTACACCCTATAGCCCCAGAAATCACTTACTTTGAAATAAGGAATTCAGATTAAAGGCATTTTTCTTTTCCAAGTTTAAAGTTACTGATATATATATTGTCTCAGACACATTATTTTAAAGCCTTGTGGCTGTTCAAAGGAAATAATTTGATCACTTTGAGGCTAGAAACTTACTCCAGAAATAAACTTAGTAGCCAAATTGTATGAATCTGTAAAACTTTATTAAATCACTACATTAAATGAGGATATAGAGATATTTACAACCAGTCCTTTCTATCAAAGAAATTCTTTTCTTGCAGAGAGAGAAAGAGAAAAACCAAATGCCATAGTGATGGTGGGTAGGAGGCATACTTTGAATTGAATCTTTTTGTTGGTGGTGTTTTTCTAATTAGCTACACATGACAGTAGAATGTATTTTGACACATCATACATAAATGGAGTATAATTTCTCATTCTTCTGGTAGTCCGTGATATAGAATCACACCAGCCATGTAATCATATATGCACATAAGGTAATAATGTCTGATTCATTCTACTGCCCTTCTTACTCCCAAACCCCCTCCTCTGCTTTCACTCCCCTCTCTAGTCCAGAGTATCTCTATTCTTCCTTAGCTGCCCCTTTCCTTTTATTGTGAATTAGCATTCG